AGGCCCAGGGAAGAATTAAGTTGCTCCAAATCACAACCAACTCGACTTTCTCCAAAGCCTATGGTATGTTCAATATGACACCAGGCACTGCATTTGCTAGCACAGGCCTCCAGAATAGAGAGCCTCTCTCCATGCAGGACTGGAAATTCTGATAGCAAGGACCTTGGCAAACACCCTATATTCCTCTTCCCTATTTCCACTGAATATGGTGGGAATACCTATCATTTTTTATTCCTAAGGCTGCTGTAACTAGCACAGACAGGGTGACTTAAAACAACAGAAATTTATTCTCTCACAGCTCTGGAAGCTAGAAGTCCAAAATCAAGTTGTCGGCAGGACCATGCTCTCTCTCAAGGATCAGGGAATAATTGTTTCATGCATTTTTCTTAGCTTCCGTTGTTTGTGGGCAATCCTCAGCACTCCTTGGCTTGCAGCTGTGGGACTCCAGTCTTTGTCTACATCTTCAAATGTTTTTCTCTCTGCATGTCTGTCTCTTCTCTTTTTTTTTTTTAATATTTATTTATTTATTTATTTATTTATTTATTTATTTATGTTTTTGAGAGTCAGAGAGAGACAGCGTGAACAGGGGAAGGTCAGAGAGAGAGGGAAATACAGAATCCGAAGCTGCCTCCAGGCTCTGAGCTAGCTGTCGGCACAGAGCCTGACGCCAGGCTCGAACCCACGAACCATGAGATCATGACCTGAGCCGAAGTCAGACACTTAACCGACTGAGCCACCCAGGAGCCCCTGTCTCTTCTCTTTTTATACCAGTCATATTGGGTTAAGGACCTACCCTACTTCAGTATGACCTCTTCTTACATATTAATTACATCTGTAAGGACCCTGTTTCAAAATAGTCGCATTTGCAGGTACCAAGGTTAGGACTTCAAAATATCTTTTTTTTGGGGGGGTACAGGGAAGACACACTTCAACCCACAATATCTATGCTAATCAGCAGATGTCAAACCAAAATCCTCATGTTGGATGTACAAACCCAATCACTATGGTGACACTTAGCTTTTTTTCCCCCTAATGTTCATTTATTTTTGACAGAGAGAGAGAGAGACAGAGTGAGGGCAGGGAAGGGACAGAGAGAGAGGGAGACACAGAATCTGAAGCAGGCTCCAAGCTCTGAGCTGTCAGCACAGAGCCTGATGCGGGGCTCGAATTCACAAACTGTGAGATCATGACCTGAGCCAAAGTCAGATACTTAACCGACTGAGCCACCCAGGCACCCTGACACTTAGCTTCTTCTGAAGGCAGGTAGAACCTAAGGGCCCAGATGGGAAGAGAAGCTGTGGTGGGCACAGGGGAAGCTGGCCACTATCCATGGGGCTTGACAGTCAAGGATGTGGCATCAGAACAATTCATAAATCTGGCTCAACCAGACTTTATTTACTCAGTCAACAGCTCTGTGGGCTTCCTGTGTGCCATGAGCTGGGTAGGGAGCAAGGCAGGCAGGATCCATTCAATCATGACATCGGTTTTATTGGGGCAACTGACAACCAGAGGATCACACTAATGATGGCACAATTACAAACTAAGATCTGTGCTCTAAGAATTCCGGTGTCACCAAGGAGACCCTCCTGTGGCTGTATTTCCATTCCTCCCTCCCTTCCCTCCTTGCTCCTTTCTTCCCTCCTAGCTCCTTCCTTCCTTCCATCCCTCCCTCCCTTCCTTCCTTCCATCCTGTGCTTTTACCAATTACCTCTCTTGGGAGGTCTGCAGGTATTGCAACATCTCTGCAAAACAGGGGACTAGCAGTGTAGGCATAGCAACAACCCAAACTGCAGAATTAATGGAGTAAAGGCTGGGAAATGGAGGGGTGGGGTGCTCCCCTCTGTGCAGTGAACGCATTGCCCTGGCCGACTCATGGCCGGTGGACAACAGCTCCTAGAGCTTTTACCAGTGTGAAGCTATAGACCTCCTCCTCTCCAAAATCCCTTTATTGTCTGGCCCTTACATAACACGTCCCCTGGGAAGCCAGGAAGGCAGGCCAAGCCCTAGCCAGGGTAGGGTTAATGCCACAAAGAGAAGCCTCACTCTGTCCTGGATGTAATGGCAGTGAAACCCACCCAGCCTGGGTAGCTCCCAGATCTGTCTCCATCTCCATCCTTACTACCACCGTCTCATCTCTTACCTCCCTGTGGCCCTCCAGTCAGGTCCCTTCCAGTCCACCTCCCACTTAACACAAGTGTCAGAGGGCTGCTTCTCAAATGCCAATCAGACTGGGACACTCTCTGGCTCCCACTTCAGAGAGGCACCCAGTGACCTGGCTCTGAGCTGAAGTACTCCAGCCCCACCTGCCTCTCTCTCGCCAGGTATCCTTCAGATACTTGTGGCTGCCTCAGCACCAGACAGAGCATCACTCCTCTTGCCTGACCAGCCTTACGCAGCTGGCCAACTCCTCTGGTCCTTGGAGAACCAGTTGCATCAGCACCTCTGGGTGCATTAAGCACCCCTTCTCAGATATCCCACCTTCTCCCACTATCATTGCATTGTTGTAACTTTCTTTTCTTTTTTAATAGTTTATTGTCAAGTTGGTTTCCATATAACACGCAGTGCTCATCCCCACAAGTGCCCTCCTCCATGCTCTTTTCTTTCTTTTCACCAACTGGGACATCCTTGAGGCAGGAATAATGTCTGATTATACTGTGATTCTTCCCCCGCAAGCTCCTGGCCCCACCCTGTACCTAGACTGGGATCTGGCACAACATCAATGAAGTCCCTTAATGCCCAGCTGGAGGTCTACTGCCCAATGACCACAGGCTCTGGCCTTGGGTTATATACATTTATGTTCCCAAATGGATTTTGACTGTGTGACCTGACAGTTTTATGGGTGTGAGACTTCACTGCCACCCCTAGCTGCAAGTGCCCCAAGCCAGGGCCCAGGAAGCTTCTGGATAGAGGTCACCGTTGGAAAGATGGGGTCTCCCGGAGGAGCTTCTGCTCCCTCCCATTCTGCCACTAGTCAGTCAGCCATCTCTGAGGTGCTCCTGTAGCCGCTCCCCCCTTATTCCAGCACTTCTCAGGTTCCCACCTCCGTCTTGTGGGTGGGGGTGTATAGAAATATCTGTCACCTTCCCTCAGAGCCTGCTTCTGGGCCAACAGGCCAGAAGATCAGTAAGGCAGGGGTGGGGTGCCACTGGCACCCATGAGCACCTATCAAAAGCCTGGGAACTGAATGTGCTGGGGTGGAGTGGGGGTGCAGAAAAGAAAATGTTTCATTACCTGCTTTCTGGCACAGGAAGCAGAAGTTCAGCCCACCATCAGGGCAGGCTAATGCCCTAAAGGGGGGAACAAGCCCCTCTCCTCCCCATACTGCAGGATGAGTTTCTAGGCAGAAAAGGGACTTCGCTGATCCTAGGGATGGAAAAAAGAAAGCCTCTGCAGCCTCCCCTCCCTGACGAGCCTCTGCTCGCATAGTCTTGGTGACCTGGCAAATCAGGACTTCTGATACTGGTTTGGGGAAGTTGGCCCTTTTCCAGAACCAAGACCAGTCTTCTGTAAGCTTCTACCGTGCAGGGCCTCTTCCAAGTCTGATCATTTACTTCAGATTCACCAGCCCAGGACCCAGGTGCCCAGGGCACCTTAGCTGGCAGAATAGTGCCTTCTTCCCAACCTTCTTGGACCACCCGTGAGAGGGTCAGACAAGTGCACATAAACCCCTTGGCCCTTCCCAGGGACGCATCAAGAAGAAGAAATTTGGGGGGGGGGGGGACAGTGCCAGAGTCTCGATGACAGTGCTCACTGATCCAAAGCTCAAGGAGAAATACAGGTGGGGGACAACTCCCTGAAGAGCCCCTCCTGTCAGCTGCAGAAACTCCCTTCTTGTCACCAGAAGAATTTATTCAAGGTTCTGCCAGCAAAGAGACTTACATTCTCCCCATCTCCTTTCCAGAGGTGCTGCTGAGTTGCACATGGTAGGGTCCATTTCTGAGATCCTGGGGCTATGTGCCACCCCCACCCTCACCTGCTAGAGTCGTTCCAGAACACAGCACCCGTTCCTCTCCCCCCCCCCCCCCCCCCCCGCCCCCAACTGTGAGCTGGGCAGAGAGGCTTATGAGGCTGTTATCTCTCAACAGACAGCTGTGCGGGGCTGGAAGCATCAGCTTATCAGGGAGCCTGCAGTGATTCACAGCCCAAGTTCCAGCTTCTCTGCTGAATAGTAATTTCCAGCAGTAGATTTGTGCTTAGTCTCTCTCCTCCCCCTCTCCCAAGGGTGTGCTGTCCTTTCTGAGAGAGAAGGCAGTGAAGGGGAGATCCTCCCCATGGTGATGAGGGGTTTTGTGCCAGCTTTCTGGATAAGGCTGTCAATTGGCAGGAGGCTGCAGGTTCAGGGAGCCTAGTGGGGTGGGCCTCCCTTGGCAGTGACCCCCAGCAAGAGTTCATTGGTGCTTGCTTTCCTTCCCTTCCCAGAAAAGCAATGTGTTGCTCCCTTTCCCTCAGTGGTAACGCATCAGGGGACAAAGGCCCCCTTCTGGCCACAAGCCCCTGAGGCTAGAGCTAGCTAGGCACAGGCAAGGCTGGGAGAGGGAGAAGCCAATGACTGGGCAGTATGCCTCTTGCTCCATTTTGAAGCAGTCCAGTCTCTGGGCCTGACCCTGAAGACTCCAAAGGCCCAGGACTCCAGGCTGGCGGGGACTGAGACCCAGGGGGGAGGCCAAAGCAACCTCTGCACATAGGTTAAGTGATAAGGAAAAAACCTGGGGCCAGAGTCTTTGTTTGTTTGTTTGTTTTATTGGAAGCAGGGCTCCAGTTGTGGGATTCAGGGGAGCAGGCACAGAGAGTTCTGTCCTGGGTCTCTCCTTCTGGGCCAGTGGGGAAGAAGGGGATGTTAAAAGAGCTAGAGCCCATCCATGGAGGCACTCCTGCACTATGATCTCAGGATGCTCCTTAAGAGCAGGGTAAGAAAAACTAGAAGGAAGGGGTGTCTCCGGGGACGGGCAGAATAGACCTTACCCCCCCCCCCCCCCCCCCCCCCCCCCCCCCCCCCCCCCCCCCCCCCCAGTTCAGACTACCCTGCCCTTCAGCAGTCACTTTCTTACCCTGGGCCCTTAGCCACTGATGGAGGTGATTGATTCCAAGAGCTCTCCTGGGCTTCCACACTCCAGGCCCCCGTCATAAAAACTGGATGTCTTTAACCCTTGGGGGTCTTGACCAAGGCTCAAGACCCCCATTGCCCACCACTCCCCCCACGCCCCCAAGAAGGTCCTAGTATGGCTCAGAAAAGCTGAAGGTGGAGCTCTGCGTCTTCAGGCAACACAAGTGGAGGGGCAACCACCTACGAAGCTTCCCTAGGATCCTCTCTTGCTGCCTTGTGCTCCAAGCTGACAGTCTGAGGAGCTGTGTCCAGAGCACCGAGGCGTAAAATGCTGGAGATACCTCTCAAGGTCGAGGCGCTGCGGGTGAGCCCTAGCCGGTCTAGGTCGCCCGGATCCACGAGTTCTCAGGCCGTCTGGTCCTCTTCCGTAGCACTTGGCTCGGGTTGTGATCGCTTCGCAGAGCCTTCTCCAGCCGCGGGTTCCCCAAGGCTCCTCTTGGACGTCGGTGCAGTTGGCTGGGACGAGGGTGCAGGATGGGAGTTCGGGGGCTGATAGCCGGGTTGGTAGGGATCCAGCGCATCCTTGGAAAGTAGGATGGCGAGGCTGGGCACGTTCTTAAGTACACTGAGACTGGCGGCAGGCTCCCCAGGCTCCTGACCCGGTGTGGGCCCCGGCGGGAGGCTCTGCCACACCTCGCGCACGCTCCGGTAGCGCAGCCGCGTGACCTGATGCAGGCCCGCCAGGCGGCGCTTGAGGATCTCCGCGCACGTGACGGTCTTGGTGGTGGCCCGACCGCAGCCGCTAAAGACGATGGCGCGCGTGGCTGGCTGCGCCATGCTGGCGGTGGCGAAAGCCAGCAGGTTCCGGATCTTGCTGCCCTCTTTGACCCTCATGTGAACGGCTCCCGGCGCCAGATCCGCGAAAGGGCCGGCGCCCGGGCCCCCCTCGGCCCCACCCCCCGCGGGTGCCTCCTCCGAGCGCACCTTACGGAAGTTCTCCATGCGCCGTCGTTGCCCGGACCGCGGGGACGCGGGCTTCGCCATGGGGCCGCTTCAGCCCCGGGGCTGCATGGCCGCCGGTCGCGCCCGGCAAGGGCCGGCAGGGGTAAGGGTGCCGGGGCGGCGTGGACGCTGTTGGGCGGGGTGGGACGGCGCGATCCTCGCCTCCGACTTCTCTCCTGTGGACGCAGATCTACGCCGCGCTCTAAGCGCCCAGTGCTCCGCGCCTTTAGCTGAGGCCCCGCCTGGGAGCCGGGAAGCCCCCGCCCCTTCTGCCAGGCCCCGCCCCTAACTCGGCTCGGCCCGCCCCCGTCCTAGCCTCTCCCGCCTGCAGGGTCCAGTCCCGAATCCAGACACAGGGGCGTGGGAGCGGTGCGCACGGTTCGGTGCAACGGCAGCGACAGCGGGTGACTTGCCAGAGGAAGTTCCCCCATAATCGCCAGTGCCCTCCCTGAGCCAACCCTCATAAACGGACAGCCTAAATAAAAACTGCGTTTGCGATGCAAATGCCGCTTCAAGCCGGGTTCCTGAGCCCTTCCAACTGAAGGTCGCCCCTTGTCCCCTCCCAAGGAGGGATTTCCAAGAGGCCTGCTGGGGCCTCTTTCCCGCACTCCTCAGGGGAACCCCCACCCCCCATTCCGTCCCTCCCGCGCCGGAGCCGCTCTTCTCGCCTCAAGGACAGCCTGTGCACGGTCAGCAGAGTGCAGAGGCGCTGGCTGCCGCTGCACTCCGTGCCGCCCTCGGGCGACTACGTCGCGGCGTGGTCCTCCCAGTGTGGCCGGAGACTGGGGTCTCGGCTCGCCGCGCCTGACGGGGGCTGGGGGCTCCCGGACCCCAGTACTCTCCTGGGCCGAGGGAGTGAGGCTCTAGGCCAGGCTGACCCTGAGGCGAATGGGAAGAGAACAAGGAGAGACCTTATCGAGCGGAGTTAAGCTTCCTCCACCCATGCAACGTCCACTATTATTAAAGCTGCATGTTTTAGGGTAAAACAGGCATTGTCTCCTGGTAACGTGAAACCCCCTTCTTCCCAGGTGATACTCGTTGTTAGTCAGCCTTAGCCCCCCTGAGACCCAGTGGGGTCCTTTTTCAAAAAGGAGGCTGGATCAAAGCAGGTTTTGAGACAAGGGGGAAGAAACGTGGGAAGTTGAAGCCTCGGAGGCATTATGAAGCTACTGGGTGCCCTTCTCCGGAAATCCATAGGACCGGGAGAATGGCCCGACCTCCTACCAGGAGACGTGGACAGTGAGAGTGAGACTGGGATTGAAGGCCAGCTGACGGCAGGGGAGTTAAAAGGAGCTAGACCCTCCCTAGAAGTGCCCTAGGGCCTTGCCCTTCACCCTCCCACTCCCTTGCGCACGCGCATAGTCAGACAGGCGTGCAGACCTGATCCGGGTAGCGGGTACTACCACCCGGCGTGCATGGCGGGGAGGCTCCCGGAGAGCTGCGGCGGGCGGGAAACCTCAAAGTGAGGGCGGCTTGACAGTGCCTGGGGGTAGCTGGGTCCCAGTCTTGGCGGGGCTGCCGGGGTCCCCTTCTCCCTTCTCGCAGCTGTTCTCGTCTCCTCGTCGTCATCTTGTATGTCCTAGCTCTCGGCCCTGCCGTTCAGAACGGGGGCTGACCCCATTTGTCGCCCCATAGGGAGTGGCTGGAGCTGGTGGTGGACCTTTGCGCCCCAACGTGTGAGTGACCGACTCCGGCCTGGATCTCCTGCTCGCATTCTGGGCTCGGGGGCTCTCGAGGGCTCGTTCCGCTTGGAACCCGTACTTCAGCGCTGCCCCAGCTCTCACGAGCCCCACGAGGAACCGGCACGGCAGCCTCGATAGAACACAAAGACTGACTGCAGCGCGTGGCGGGGCGCAGGGAACCTCATGCAGCAGTTTCGGCTAGGCCTGGAAGAAAGTCCTGGAATGGGTGAAATCTACGTTAGAACGGGCTGGTTAGGGAAAAAGCGAGCTCTCCATCCGCAGGAGTATGCAAGCCTAGGCTGAACTTTCACTTGGAGGGGATATAGGCAGGGTCTGCAATTTGGAGGCATGGGCCTGGGAGCTCCGGGTTTGCGTTGGGTCAGCACGCGGGTGTTCTGCGTGCTTGGGTTGGCCCTCGAAAGCACCCCTCTCCCCCTTTCTACTAGTGCCAGCTGTAGAAGACTCGGATTCACTTGGCTCCCCAGTGAAGGGAGAGCGCCAAAAAGGCCCGCATTCCCTCCGGGTCCCCTCCCCTTCCCTGCTCCCTCTGCAGCACTTAAAATGTAAATGTACATCGTGATTAGCCGCCGGGTCGCTAATTACCGCTGAAGCCATTCATTACCCTGTCAGCGCGCGTCCTAGCCTGCCGGCTGTGCGCTCCCGCTGGGCAGCAGGGTGGCTGGGCTGGAGGGGTGGAAGTGGGAGGGGTCAGGAGTGGGGGGCTGTGAGTAAGGGTGAGCACCAGGGCGGGGAGGAAGAGGGGGCGGGAGAGGGGCCAGTGGGGGTGTAAAAAACAGGAGGCGATGTACCCGCGCGAGGCAGGAAGAGGGGGGAAATGCTCAGACAGCTAGAAATGGGGACGGGAGGGGATAGCGAGGATGGGGAGGTGCGACGTGAGAGAGCAGACGCGGACGAGGAGCACGCGGGGAGGCGGCCAGGAACCCTGGAGGAGAGGCGAACGCGGTTGGCAGAGGAGTAGAGGGCAGAACTATGGGAAGGTGGGCAAATCTGTGTGCGTATCAGTGGCGCATACCCCGCGAAGGTTAGAAACGTGGAAAGACAGTCAGGGCTTTCAGTTAAAAGAGCTGGGTAGGACCGTAAGTATTTTTTTTTTTAAGCGCGCAGCGGGGGGTGGGGGGGGGACGGGGGATCTATTTCCATATGTGTTTGTAGATGTAGATATATTTTTAAAGTATCTTTAAGAAAAGAGCAAACTGCATCTGTTGCCTCTGAGGCAGCATCCAGTTTTTGTGAGCTTCTAAGAAAAGAACTGTTAAATATGAATAGGGAATTACGCACAGAGCCTTGGAACAGACTGTGTAAATGAGGTACTGACCTTGTAGCCTGAGCTTCATTTAGCTTCTTTTTGCCTCTATGTGACCTTGGGCAATTTACTTAACTCCTATGCCTTGGTTTTCTCAACTGTGAAATGGGGCTAACATAGAAACCTGCCTCATAAACTGATTGGGAGACACGTAGCATCTTAGAAACTTGGCTGGTAAATTCTCCGAGAAAATATTTTTCACATATTATTTGAGATTAAGATAAATTTTCTAAAAATTTTAAAGGGAGGTGAGAGGGTGGGCTGCTGAAAGGAAAGGAAAATGGGCAAAGCCCTGGTAAAAGCAGTTTTCCTAACATGCTAGGGACTAGTTAGTGGCTCCTTAGACTCCCTTTATCCTTAGAGGAGGTGATGGGGTGGTTAGGCTGGAGTCCCTGCTCTGCAAAAGGACCTTTGCAGCAGTGCATCCTGCCTCTGTGGACAAGTCTCTTCTCACCCCAAGTCTGGGAGAAACCCTCAGGCGCAAGACAGGTTTCCTCCTGGGGCACCTGAGTGGCTCAGTCGGCTGAGCGTCTGACTTTGGCTCAGGTCATGATCTCACAGGTTCTTGGGTTTGAGCCCTGCATCCGGCTCTGTGCTGACAGCTCAGAGTCTGGAGCCTGCTTCAGATTCTGTGTCTCCCTCTCTCTCTGCCCCTCCCCCACTCATGCTGGTTTCTTTCTGTATCAATAATAATAAACATTAAAAAAATTAAAATTTAAAAAAGTTAAAAAAAAAAAAAAGACAGGTTTCCTCCTCCTCTGTCTCCAGTGGCAGGAAGAGAATGGCAACCTCCTAAAGCTGCTGGTCCTACTCTCAGCCTCTCTGGGCAAGGACTTGGGAACATGCAAAGGAGTCAGGAACTGGAAAATTCAAAGGGGGCCAGAGTTCCGATTTATCAGGCACCTACCAAGTGCTCGGCATTGGGCCAGGTACTCTTACAGATCTATTCCCTGATTCAGTCTTTATAATCTTTCTTTTCATCATTGTTTGACAGATGTGGAAACTGAGGCACAGAGAGGTTAAGTAACTTTGCCCAATGCACCACAGCTAAAAAGCAGCAACCACAGATATAAAATGAATGCAAGGTTTGCTGATTCACTTTACTACCTCCCCTGAGTATAAGAGGGAAGGAAACTTGGGTCACCTGGGTGGCTCAGTCGAGTAAGCGTCCTACTTCGACTCAGGTCATGATTCCGCGGTCCATGAGTTCGAGTCCTACGTCGGGCTCTGTGCAGACAGCTCAGAGCCTGGAGCCGGCTTCATATTGTGTGTCTCCCTTTCTCTCTGCTCCTTCCCTACTCTCTCTTTGTCTCTCTCAAAAATAAATAAACATTAAAAACATTTGGGAGAAAAAAGAGGGAAGGAAACTTAAATGATTTGAGCTGCTCGGTAAAGGTGTGAGTTGGTTTTGGGGAAAGGGGGGTTCCTACAGTGAGGAAGATATATTGGTTATCTATTGCTGCTTTAAAAAGTACCCCCTCACCCAAACTCAGCAGGCTGAAACAAAAACATTCATATCTTACACAGTTATTGAAGGCTCGAGATCTAAGAGCAGCTTGTAGGGGTGGTTCTAGCTTAGGTTCTTTTCTGAGGTTGCAGCCAGAGATGTTGGTTAGAGGTCTCAGTTCCTTATCACATTGGATGGCTCCATAGATGTGCTCATTACATATCTGTGGGCTTCCCCCAGAGCAAGTGATCAGAGAGAGAGATAGAGAGAGGGGATGAGCAGGAAGCCACAGTGCCTTCTGTAGCCCAGCTTTGTCTGAAGAGAAATTAAGTTCTACTTCTTGAAGGGAGCAGTGTCAAAAAATTTGTAGATACTTCAAAGCCACAGCAGAAAGGGAGTGTTTGGGAGGTAGATGTAGGAGAGGCAATCAGGAATCAATATATGGAGGCAAATACATGGCAAGACCTTAAATCAGGAAAGCTGGATTTATTTCCTGGTGTACAGAGAGCACTTAATGAAGGTTTGCTAAATGGGTGCATGCATGACAACTTTTCTAAGATTGTTTTCAAGACTTTGCTCATGAGCATAAGAGCAGTCACTACTTTATTTATTTATTTATTTATTTATTTTAATTTGTGTGTTTTTTTTTTTTTTGTGTTTTTGAGAGACAGACAGCATGAGCAGGGGAGGGTCAGAGAGGGAGACACAGAATCAGAAGCAGGCTCCAGACTCTGAGCTAGCTGTCAGCACAGAG